CCAAGGGCTCCCAGACCGCGAGAGGGCCCAGGCTGGGCTTAGGGACCCCCCCCCCCCCCCCCCAGTGCACGAATTTCATGCATCGAGTCTCTAGTCTATAATAATAAACACATAATATGCTAATTAGACTGGATGTCTTTCCGGATGTCCTTCCAGATGACCTTCCAGACAAGCCGGGATTGCGAGGGCAGCCTGGGTCCCGGGTGCCAGAGGGAAGCCGCTGCCAGCAGCTGGGGGAAGGAAGGCCTACTCTTGCACGAATTTTGTGCATCGGACCTCTAGTTATGTATAACAGGATATTGTAAAATTTAAGTTACAAAATTTTTATTAAAACATTTCTTACATACCGTTATATTGGCTGGGCTGCAAAAATATTCGCAGTGGGCTGCATGCGGCCTGCGGGCCACGAGTTTGACATGCTTGCTGTACAGTCTTACGAACTTTTCCCCTCTTTCACCAGCTGCTGTGTCTGTTTTCCCCAAATTCATATGTTGAAATGTAATGCCCAATGCGATAGGTTAGGAGGTGGGGCCTTTGGGAGGTGGTTAGGACATGCGGGCAGAGCCCTCATGAATGGGATTAGGTTACCTCTGGCACCAGGTGAGGTTATGGTCATCTGGGAAGCAGGCTCTCACCAGACACCAGATCTGCTGGCACCACGATCTTGAACTTCCAAGCCTCCAAACAGAAAGAAAGAAATTTTTTTTTGCTTATAAGTTACCTGGTTTATAGTTTTTTTGTGATAGCAGCCCAAGCAGACTAAGACACCACTAAGACACCACCTCCTCTTTTCCAGCTTGACTTCTCCAAAGTCAATCCTGTCTTATAATTTTACATGTCAATTATACCTCAACCAGCTGGAAGCAAGAAAGGCAATCCTTATCCTTGGTGGAGCACTCTGTCACCCTCTACCACGACCTTCTGTATCCCTAACGTTAGGAAGAAGGAACCCCGCGTGCTTTGGGGGCAACCATAGTGCTAACAGCCTCGTCCTGTGTTCCATGGAATCTTTCACATGTTTGTCTCCCCTTGTGAATTGTGTGCTTTTTGTGGGTAGGGGTTTTGTCTTGTTTCTCTTCAGACCTAAAGAGCCGATAAGATAGTAAGTAATAGTTGAATGAATTCTCGTTGGGTGCTAACTGATTGGTAGAACTCACTGGTCTTCATTCATCAATAGAGCTTGGTCACCTTTATAAAAATGAGCCCCGAATCCCACTCTCCATACTGTCTGGCACCAGGTGAGGTTATGGTCATCTGGGAAGCAGGCTCTCACCAGACACCGGATCTGCTGGCACCACGATCTTGAACTTCCAAGCCTCCAAACAGAAAGAAAGAAATTTTTTTTTGCTTATAAGTTACCTGGTTTATAGTTTTTTTGTGATAGCAGCCCAAGCAGACTAAGACACCACCTCCCCTTTTCCATCTTGCCTCCAGCTTGACTTCTCCAAAGTCAATCCTGTCTTATAATTTTACATGTCAATTATACCTCCACACAGCTGGAAGCAAGAAAGGCAATCCTTATCCTTGGTGGAGCACTCTGTCACCCTCCACCACGAACTTCTGTATCCCTAACGTTAGGAAGAAGGAACCCCACGTGCTTTGGGGGCAACCATAGTGTTAATAACCTCATCCTGTGTTCCATGGAATCTTTCACATGTTTGTCTCCCCTTGTAAATTGTGTGCTTTTTGTGGGTAGGGGTTTTGTCTTCTCTTCAGACCTAAAGAGCCGATAAGATAGTGAGTAATAGTTGAATGAATTCTCGTTGGGTGCTAACTGATTGGTAGAACTCACTGGTCTTCATTCATCAATAGAGCTTGGTCACCTTTATAAAAATGAGCCCCGAATCCCACTCTCCATACTGTGCTGTGCCAGTGCCCCGCTCCACTCCCATTCCTCCAGCAGACAAGCTGCAAAAATAGGAGTCAAGGAGGAAACTGGGAGAGAGACACTCCCATTGAAAAGGAAGGAGTGATAGAAAATGTAAAAGGATGAATGAAAAAGTCAGAGGGGAGACAAGGCAGTGCTGAAAAGGGTTAGGGTTGAAGAAAGAAAAACAGAGTATATACATATATTTTTTATTTATTATTATTATTTTTTAATTTCTTTATTGGTTAAGGTATTACGACACATTTGTAATACCTTAACCAACAGAGTATATGTTTTTAAAAATTTAGGAGGAGGTTCTGTCTACATGGTCAATGGCCATTTCAGCTATTATGTCAGGTAAGGAAAATCAGTTAAGACAGTTGTTGGGAATGACACAGCTTGAGCAGTAAGCAGTGCAAGCTTCCGTGGAATTGGATCACTTAGCTGCTTCAGGATTGGGGGTGGGGATGGTGCAGGTAGCCAATCAGAATGAAAGTGAGTTGGCAAGAAACCAATAGGAATTGGGCATGGCAATGGCTTTCAGGGTGATATCAGTTGGCAGTACTGACCCTGGCAAACAGACGCAGAGCTGAGTGAGCCTTGCTCTTTGTGGTTTTTGACAGCCTCCCTCTGGTTTCAGTTCGGAACTGCTGAGCCTTGGCAGAAGATACCGCTGGTCTTGGTAGTTTTGGAGAACTTGATTTGAGAGAGATGCTGGAGTGACAGGTGGCGATAGCAGGATGTGAAGATGACAAGGCCCTGAAGACAGGTGAAGTGATTTGAAGATGTAGCATTTTGATTCTCATTTCTGGCCCACCCTCTGCTTCCAACGGGAATCATTGTGGTTTGTAGACCAGCTCTAGATATTTTTGGGGATACTTCAGGAACCTCCAGGCATTTTCAGGTTAAGACTAGCCACAAGGAAAAACAAAACAGAGTGAGTCCTTCTCAGGACCGCCATGCAGGCTCTGTGCCACACAAGGGAACCAGCGCACGGGGGTGGAGGCTGAAACCCAGGCTGTTTGTTGTTCAGATGCCAAGCCATGTGCCCTGGGGTCAGGAGAGGGGACTTCTTCTAATTCACTCAAAGACACCACATACTTTAGTTTTTTCCTTTGTTTTCGGGCTATGCATAGACCTCACCACCCCCACCTAACTGGTATGACTCAACTTTGACCTTGCTTCCCATTTGCCATTTTGGTTTTGGAGGGTCCTGGAGAGGAAAAGGGGCCATGGGATTGCAGTAGGAGAAGGGAATTCCAGAATGATTGGTACCCATGGAGGAAGTGCCCCTCACAGAGTTCAGTTCATCACATATTCAGGGAGAGCCTATTGTGTGCCATGAGCTGTGTCTACAGCCTTAAGAAAAATTAATATTCAGCCCTAGCCCTTGTGTGTCCAGAGGGGAAGGCAAACACATTACCATATCAAACAGTGGGAAGTGCAGAAATCCACACAAGCCCTCGCCTAGGGACACATAGCGTCTGCGAAGCTAACACTGCTGTCTGTTTCCTGCACAATGTCCCCGGGGCACATGCTGAAATGACCTCGGATCTGAGTGAGGGCCGATCTCTGGTGGAAAGAATGTGTGTGCGTGGGCTCCTGGCAAGTCTCACTTTCTCCTTTTTGCATATTACCACAGGTTGGTCTGTAGTCGCGCAAGTATCAGTAATAACTCACCTATGAATTCCTCAAGGAAGAACTGAAAAAGCGGTGGCAAAAATGAATTCTACCTTCTGGGGGGCAGGAAGTGGTCACACAGCAGATTTACTCTGTGGAAGGTCGGCTGACTACACTTTTGTGCATGGGTATTTTCCAATGCTTGTGTGTTTCATTACTGTTTTGGGAGGTAGGTAGCGGCTTTTATTTATTATTATTTTTAAAACATTTTTATTGATTTCAGAGAGGAAGGGAGAAGGAGAGGGAGAAACATCAATGATGAGAGAAAATCATTGATCTGCTGCTTCCTGGAGGCCCCCTACTGGGGATCGAGTCTGCAACCCTGGCCTGTGCCCTTGACTGGAATCAAACCTGGGACCTTTCAGCCCACAGGCCGATGCTCTATCTACCGAGCCAAGCCAGCTAGGGCTAGGTAGCAGCTTTTAAATCTCATCTTTCCTCTGCCCTTTCAGCCTTTGTCAGTGCAGAAAGTATGCACAACTACATCAAAAGAAGGGTCCCATGCAATCATAAGATGTGAGTGAATGCTGTCAGTCTAGCTCCCTGTAACTACAGTAGCATCTACACTGTGTTCCTTTACTTGGTGACGTTGGCTGAACACAGTAGTGTGGTAGGCATAGGAGAAGAAGACAGCCCTTAACCTTAGGGAGCTCTCTCCTGGGGCAGTGGGCAAGCAGATCATCACAATGCAGTGTGCTCAGTGTAATAAAAGGCATGGTGGACCAACTCTATGCAGGAGGCCTTACACTGCCTGCCTACACCTGACCAAAATAGGCGGGATGAGGGGAGGGTAATTGGGGCAAATAGAACCTAGACATACAGTTCACAATTTGCATAGATGGAGTGGGAAGATGAACCACCCATCCCAACCCCTGCTGAGGAATTAGGAAAGGCTTCCCGGGGAAGGGCCTCTTAAACAGCGATTAAGAGTTCAGCAGGTATGGTGAGCGATATTCATGCACATAAAACAGCATTCAAAAATGCAGGTGCTTGGTTCCGCCATTCAATGCTAGTGATTAGAGAAGTTTCTAGTTCCCTTTAAAAATGTTTATTTGTGGAAAATGTCAGCCACTTTAAAATCCTTTTGGGATGGATGGAACTAAAGAGCATTATGCTAAGTGAAATAAGCCAGTCAGAGAAAGATAAATGTCACATGATCTCACTCATTTGTGGAATATAATGAACATAAACTGATGAACAAAAATAAAACCAGAGATACAGAAGCATCGAACAGACTGTACAACCCATGAGAGAAGGCAGGGGGGGGGGGGTGGGGGTGAGGGGGTAAGAGGTCAACCAAAGGACTTGTATGCATGCATATGAGCAAAACCAATGGACACAGACAGTAGGGGGGATGAGGGCTTGTGCTTGGGGGAGGGGGTGGCAGGGGAGAGGTCAATGGGGGGAAAAAGGAGATTCATGTAATACTTTAAACAATAAAGAATTTTTTAAAAAATCCTTTCTGGAACTAGGAAGACTATAAAGAAGCAAACAATGACTCAAACACACCTAAAAAACCTTCCATTTTACTCATTGTATTAGGTCTTTAAGATATTCACTAATGACCTGGTTCCCTGTTGCTACCAGGAGGTCCGGTGACCATGAATTTCATTAGTTCTAGATCTTCGATAAATCCAGAGATAAGTGCTCCAGCAGTAAAGGGCATTGCAGAAATAGTTTGAGGAACATATCTTTGTCTGGCCTTACAAGTAAGAAGCAGCCAATAATATTTACTGATTTGGCTTGACCTGCAGTTTCCACTGTCAATAAATGCAGGAGCTGGGATGCCAGTGAATGTCGCCTGAGGCACACATTAATTGGATTATAGTCTATATATTACGTCTGGAGGCAGTGAATCTTAGAGCGGAGTTTCAAGGCACGAAAATGCACACAGACAGAGTTAACAAGTATCTTTTGTTACTTACCCGGTGAAGGCAGTTTTCACTGTGGTTAGAACTCAGTTTAATAGTACTTCTGGCTTTTAGGAAAATTATAGAATCTATGTGGCTGTAGCTCAGGATGAGTAATTATTAATATATAGTGTACTCTGTAGATAGGGAGTTTGACTTTTCATAATTTCTCATCAGTAGATCCATAGGTAAGTGACACTGGGTGGGCAAATGGGAGGTTTTTGGCACTTCAGTATTTTCCAAATTCACCTGTAAGAGATACCTCATTATGTGTATCTTATATTTAAGAGGCAGCATTTGTAATGAAATGACATTCAGAGGAAGTTTTTTCCCCCCCTGTTAATTATTTATTCATAATTATATGATACTCAGAGTAACTTTAAAATTAAATAACTAGAGCGAGGGGATATGAAACCGGTTTGAAACTATATATGATGTCTAAATAACACATCCATTTATTTCTTTAGGATTCCTGAGGTCCTTTATAAAGAATTCTGAAGTCATTGTCTTAGCAGTTCTCTCTCTAACAGGATTTGTGATAGGACACCTGGCCTACAGTTTTATTCCCCCCCCCCCCCTGTTAATTATTTATTCATAATTATATGACACTCAGAGTAACTTTAAAATTAAATAACTAGAGCAAGGGGATATGAAACCGTTTTGAAACTATATATGATGTCTAAATAACACATCCATTTATTTCTTTAGGATTCCTGAGGTCCTTTATAAAGAATTCTGAAGTCATTGTCTTAGCAGTTCTCTCTCTAACAGGATTTGTGATAGGACACCTGGCCTACAGTTTTATTCAGGTGATGTATGTACCAGAAGCTAGAGAGTAAATAAAAGAACAGAGACACAAAACAAGGTCCACTCCCACCCATCCTGAATGTATGGATTTTTTTTTATGTGAACAGCTACTGAAAAACAATCATCTGGTAGTAACGTCTTTAAAAATGAAATACTATTCAGTAAAGGAGACATACATTAGAGGTGCTTGAGAAAAAGCACCGATCTGTAAGTGTGGACAATGTGATTGCATTCTTGGGTTCTTCATCATCTTCCTTTGGAGCCCTGCCCTGGCTCCTGCCCTGGACATAGACTGGCTTCTTCCGGGCTGTTGTCTTCAACACCTGTGGAGACTCTGGTTATAAAAAGCAGCAGCTATGACGAAGCATGGTTCCTCTTTTCTAACTGCCAGCTTCATGTGTAACATAGTATAATAGAAATACATATGACACACATCGTATACAATATAGATACACTGAAAGATTTTTAAATCCTGAGCAAATGTTTGTGCAAGGGTTTTTTCCCCGCTCTTAATGCAAATTAGAATAGGAGACTCTGGTTATAAAAAGCAGCAGCTATGACGAAGCATGGTTCCTCTTTTCTAACTGCCAGCTTCATGTGTAACATAGTATAATAGAAATACATATGACACACATCGTATACAATATAGATACACTGAAAGATTTTTAAATCCTGAGCAAATGTTTGTGCAAGGGTTTTTCCCCCGCTCTTAATGCAAATTAGAATAAATCTCTAATAAAAAATACTTATTTGTGAACCACCTAAAATCATCTCAGACATCACCAATGGTAGTGGTTTCGCTTTTGAAAACACTGATTACTTAAATAAGCAATATGCATGCAGGCCAAGCCCACACAATTCTCCGCTGAATAGGGTAACACATATAACAGATCAAGAAATCTCTCCCCTGGGCTTCCAGGACTGGCCTTGCAGATCATCCCTCATAAATTGCAAATTGGATTATCCTAAAATATGTTGATTGACATACCTTCAACCCAATTTCTAATACTTCAAAATGGCAGCAAACTAATTTGTTTGCTTTTGTTGATTTAGATGCACCAAGTTGTCTATACTCTTCTAAGAACTCCAAGTTTTTCACTTTATTGTTATGTTTCACCTTTAATTATATTTATGGCTGCCTTGGACGTGGACTTTTATATCCTCAAGAATGTGCTTTGGCAGGTAAGAACAAATTTTTAAAAGAAGTTATAGTCGCCCAGCCAGCATGGCTCAGTGGTTGAGTGTTGACCTATGAACCAGGAGGTCACAGTTCGATTCCCAGTCAAGGGCACATGACTGGGTTGTGGCCCCATCCCCAGTGTGGGGCGTGCAGAAGGCAGCCTATCAGTGATTCTCTTTCATCATTAATGTTTTTATCTCTCTCTCCCTCTCCCTTCCTCTCTGAAATCAATAAAAATATATAAATAAATACAAATAAAAGAAATTATGGTCAATTCTTATTCATGTTGACAGAGAATATGATTATCTGTAAAGAAAGGTACTAAGTCACAAATCCCACTTTTAGTTGTTGTGCCTTCTTCATTTTGCAGAACCAGTAATTAGAGAGAGTTGAGGGGAGGGAGAAGGGATGACTATTTGCTGAGTGACCACTGTGATTGAGTAAATATCATCTCTATTTGACGTATAAACAGACTGTGGTTCAGAGGTCACAAACCAGGTTGATAAATGGCAGAACCTGGATTCTAATTTCACAGCTGACTTAATCTCAACTGTATCTGTAGATACAGCTTTTGTTGCTAAGATTGTTTTTTTTGTGTGTGCCTTCTTTTTTTCTTAACCATACTTGCCAGACTAATTTATTTTTCCTTTCAAATAACATTTTATTTTCTTTGGTTTGGTTTTGATCCCCTCCCCTAACATCTTGAGTTAGATAGTAGTTGTTTGATTTTTAGCTTACTTATTTTTTGTACTTTGTACATTTAAGGTTTTAAATTTTCCTATAACTACTCTTTTAGTGTAATCCCACATGATTTGATTATTAGTATTTTTATTATCATACAAATCCTACCTAAGTTTTATTATACTTTTTCCTTAACTGGTTAATCATTTTGAAATTATTTAAAAATTTCCAAATATGGCTTTTTATTATGATTTCTTTCCCCACAGTGCAGCCAGAGAATGTGCTTTGTATATCAACTCTTGTGATTTGTGGAGATTTGCTTTGCGGCCTAGTACCTGATCACTTTTCCAAAATGTTCTGTTTGTTTTCCAAAAATGTATATTCTTTAATTGTTGAGTACAGGGTCTGAATTTATTCAGTAGATTGTTTTGTTACTTATGAAGTTTGGTATGGTAATCAAATATCACTCAGCAACAAAAAAATAACAACAATTGACAGGAACAACATAGAAGAATTTCAAATGCTAGAGAAAGAAACCCAGACTCAAAGGCCACATGCTGTACAATTCCATTCATACGCCTTCCTTCTAGTAATGGCAACACTATAGGTTTGGAGACCAGATCATTGGTTTCCAGGGACTGGGGATGAGGGAAGAAATTGACTACAAAGCAGTGTGGGATATTTTTGAGAGTGATGGATCTGGTTTATTTTTAAAAAAGATTTTTTAAAATTGATTGTAGAGAGAGGAAGAAGGAGAGAGAGAGAAAAACATTAATCGGTTGCCTCTTGCACATGCTCGGACTGGGGACCAAACCTGAAACCTAGGTAGGTGCCTTGACCAGGAACTGAACCCGCCACCATTGTCCCAGGTGCCCGGGACAATGCTCCAACCAATTGTGCCACCCGGCCAGGGCTCTGCTCTGTTTTTAACTGTGGTCATGGCTAAGTGACTGCATGCAGTTGTCAAAACTCATGTAACAGTATCCCCAAAAGAATGAATTTTACTGTTTTTGAATTAAAGATAAAATTTTAAAAATCAAAGGAAATAGATTTGGCTTTATTTCTCCCAGATAGTGTTTGTACTCTGCAGTGAGCACGCTTTCCCTTTGCTTTTTCTCACGCTCTCTTCTCTTCTCAATCAAGTTGATTCACTTTTCTTTATATGTTTTTTGTCTCTTCTATTTCCATTCTATTTCTGTTGCTGAGGCAGCCACTGCCAATTGCCTATTTGATATGCATTATCCCTTTCCCCTAACTAACAGGAACTTACTACTGTTTGTTTGGTATGGTAGTGGGCCCACTGTAAATACCACATTATCTAGCATCTCTGACATATGTGGTAGCCTTAGAAGAGTTTGGCCATTGGAATGTACTATACAGAGGTTTGCTAAATAAGGTTTCTTCTAGAACAGCTGTGGGCAAACTACAGCCCGCGGGCCGGATCCGGCCCATTTGAAATGAATAAAACTAAAAAAAAAAAAAAAGACCGTACCCTTTTATGTAATGATGTTTACTTTGAATTTATATTAGTTCACACAAACACTCCATCCATGCTTTTGTTCCGGCCCTCCGGTCCAGTTTAAGAACCCGTTGTGGCCCTCAAGTCAAAAAGTTTGCCCACCCCTGTTCTAGAATGTCCTTAACCAGGGACCCCGGTCAGCTGGCATGTACTTTTGGCCCTTTGCTGTCCTTCTCTTTCTACCTGGAGCCCAGCAGATGGTGATACCGAGGAAACCAGGAAATGTTTTACACAGCCACAGGAGAAGTTTGCATTCCATTTTAAGATCATCATTTTGATGTTGAGAAATCTTGAGCTGGAAGAACAACAAGAAATATTGGGGAATTGATCTTTTCACAATAAGATAGACTCTCACTTGTTTGGAAGGGATGGTTTCTTTGAGGTGGGTAAACTAGATTACCTTTTGAAGTGATCTTCCAGAGGAATTATATAAAATACTAGAGGCCCAGTGCACAAATTCATGGACGGCTGGGGTCCTTCGGCCTGGCTGGCAGTCGGGGCCAGTCGGGGCCGATGGAGGCTGGCCAGCCAGGGAGGGACCTCGGGAGGGCTCCAGGGTGTGTCCGGCCCTCTTGCCCAGTCCCAGTCGGCCAGACCCTAGCAGCAAACTAACCTACCGGTCAGAGTGTCTGCCCCCTGGTGGTCAGTGCGCATCATAGCAACTGGTTGGGTGGTCCAATGAACGGTCAACTGATCAGTCGGACACTTAGCATATTATGCTTTCATTATATAGGATGTAACCAGCCCTAGCTAGTTGCTCAATGGTTAGAGTGTTGGCCCATGGACTGAGGGGCCAGGGGTTCAATTCCAGTCAAAGGTATGTGTCTTGGTTGCAGGTTTGATCCCTGGCCCCAGTCGGGGTGTGTGCAGGAGGCAGCCAGTAGATATGTCTCTCTCATGTCAATGTCTCTCTCTCTCTCTGTCTCTCCCCCTTCCTTCTACCCTCTCTAGAAATCAATGGAAAATATATCCTCTGGTGAGGATTAACAATAACAACAAAAAATATGTAACCAAGATCTGATTCTTACGTAAGTACATGAAGTCATGCCATTTTTAGATGTTGAAACTAATACTATGTAATGAATTGGTTCCACAGGTCTTATTAACTGGATTTATTAGCTTCTCTACGGCATTCATCATAGTTGGATATGTGGTTATAAAATTCAATAAGGCTTCGTGGGATCTGCAATGCTGCCTGCTCTTCAGCATGACCCTTGGCATCATAGACCCTATTCACTCTGTGAATACACTAAAAACGATCGGTATGTAGGATGTACTGCTCTCTGATATCTTGAAGAAACAATGATAAATTATCTGCTTCTGATTATATTTTTCTTGCACAAATTGTGCATCCAGTGGAGTAGATGTTTATGCTGCTATTCTTGGGGCCTTGGTTGACTTGAAGGGCACAATGCAAATAAGGCCATTCAGGATCTGGGTTAAATAACACCAATTCTAATCTCAAAGGATTTTTTTTCCCCAAAAAGAAGGTGATAAAAATTAGCATTCTTATATCGTTCTACTGAATTCTAAGCTATAGAGATTGTGCTTTATGTCACTGAAATGTTTTCAAGGCCTCGCTACCTCTTGTTGGAACTCCATTTTGGATGAGCTAGCCTTGGGCAGGAGGCTGTGGTTGATTTAAAGGAAACGGGGTAAGAATATAGTCTGGTAACTATGTTATTCAACACAAGCATCCCATCTTATCTTATTTGATAAAAGATGATTTCACACTGAAATATCTCCCTTTCGTCACATTTTATTAACTCAGCAATACAAACATGAAATGGTTAGATGCTATGGTTTTGGTTTCGGACTCAGAAATATGTCCCTAACCAATTTTCAGGCAGTGGTTCTATTTTGTGGAAATATATTGCCTTATGATTGGAGTGGGAGGCCTCCAAGCTTTCTAGCAAGTGATATTCCCATTTTTACACCCATTTATCCCTACAGTTGGGAAAACATAGTAGGTTTTAAGACACTTGTGATGGTAATATTCTAAATTCTCAAAGAATCTGGTCCTGCCGAACCGGTTTGGCTCAGTGGATAGAGCGTCGGCCTGCGGACTCAAGGGTCCCAGGTTCAATTCCGGTCAAGGGCATGTACCTTGGTTGCGGGCACATCCCCAGTGCGGGGTGTGCAGGAGGCAGCTGATCAATGCTTCTCTCTCATCGATGTTTCTAGCTCTCTATCCCTCTCCTTTCTTCTCTGTAAAAAAATCAATAAAATATATTTTAAAAAAAAGAATCTGGTCCTGTCCTCTTTTCTTTCTCTTTATTTTCCAAGTACAATTTTTTTCTATCTTTTCTTCATCTGTCCTTCTCTTTTAGTCATTGGCATTTCCCCCTTGTTTTACTCAACTCCTTCTCTTCCTGCTCCCTTTTTTGCAGTCTCTTGACTCTAAGTGGCTATAATAAACTATATACTATAATTACTTATTGCAGCTTCCACACTAAGAAATGTTTTCAGCAAAGGAGTAGAATAGAAAGTCTTCTATTTCTTGAAAAGAAAACTAGCAAAAGTATTTGGCTTTAGTTGGTATTTTCTTTGTGTCAAAAATGCTCAGGTGGTACATGGGTTCTGTATCCAAGAACCTTTTTTCCTAGTACGACAAATTTGCCTATTCTGGCCATGTCATATAAATCAAACCATTTCATATAAATCAAACCAATGTGTGATTTTTGTGTCTGGCTTCTTTCACTTAGTGTAATGTTTATAAGGTTCATCCATAGCTACAAACATGTATCAGTCAGAACTTCATTCCTTTTGGTGGCTGAATGATATTCCATTGTAGGGAGAGACCACAGATGTTTATCCATTCATCAGCTGATGGACTGTAGGTTGTTTCTACTTTTTTTTATTATTATGAGTAATGCTGCTGTGAACATTCATGTACAGATTTTTGTGTGGACACATGCTTTCAATTCTCTTCAATGCATGTATAAGAGTGGAATAGCTGGGTTGCATGTTGTACTTATTTTAAGACGTGATTCTCTTGAGTCGAATTATTCATGTTCACTCAAGCCAAATGTAGTGTCCTGAGAAGTGTCTTGTGTCAGTCTGAAGCTCAAACCTGGCTTGAGTCCATGGACACTTCAAGGAGCACCATGGCTGTGTCCCTTTGCCATTAGAGATATAGAAGGCACAGTGGAGGAATTAAAAACTGGTGACTGCCCTAACTGGTTTGGCTCAGTGGATAGAGCGTCAGCCTGTGGACTGAAGGGTCCCAGGTTCGATTCCGGTCAAAGGGCATGTACCTTGGTTGCGGGCACATCCCCGGTGGGGGGCGTGCAGGAGGCGGCTGATCGATGTTTCTGGCTCTCTATCTCCCTTCCTCTCTGTAAAAAAAATCAATAAAATATATTTAAAAAAAAACAACAAAAAACTGGTGACTGTGACTGTCTTACAGACCTATCCCAGGCATGGCTGCCTTCTTTTGTTTCTAGCATATGCTTTCTCTTCTGTCTTTGTGTTTCCTGTGCAAGAGCATCATTTTCATGGACCATATTTCCTTTTCCAGGCATTTCCAAAATGTATACTGATATCATCCGAGGAGAATCCATGATCATCTGTGGTGTCACAAGCATTTTTTTTGGAATTCTTCGGAACAACTTAGTTAACATGTTCGTGTTTAGGGGTAGGAACATTTTTTTTTTGGTCTGTATATTTTCTTAAAATTGTGCTTACCAGGTTCATACTGAAATTAAAACACATTCAAGATGTCTTTACCTCTTTTTCTATACTTACTCTTGGGCCAATTAAAACAGTATATCAGGCAACAAGAAAATAACTACAGGCCATCTCGGTCTTTTCTTGGACACTAGGGGGGAAAGAATGTTAAATTTTTTCATCTCCCTCAATATGCATGTACACATGTACATGTGTGGGTGCACACCCACACACAAACACACACATTTTCCCGCCTGGCTCAGATTTCCTTCTTTCCTGGATCAACCCAGATCTCAGAGGCTGGATGTGAAGACCTGGCGTGGCGCTGGTGAAAGCAGAATGGCTCAGGGCAGTACCGGAGTGTCAGGTCCTTGAAGTGCTAATAGTCAGATTCATGTGATTCCAGTTCACTGGGCTGTGGAGCACATGGTCTCGCGAGGTTTCCAGATATGGTCATAGCAGAGTAGAAAGGGAAAACAATCACAGCATGAAGAAGCAAAAGGCATCCATCCTCCTGAAATGTAGGAAGAGAGAGGGCTAGGAGGAGAAAGAAATGCTGGGGATACAGAGGCGTTGGTAGTGCTTCCTGACAGGCACTTAGGATGGGGCAATCTTTGTTGTTTAGAACTGCCCATGGCATTGCCTGAAAGCTGCTGACCAACTGTCACTACTGTCCCCAGTTATTGTGACTTTAGGAAATTTCCCTCTCTAGTTCTCAGATGCCACCCGGGCTGGGGGCAGGGGCCACAAAGGGACTGCAGGTTGGTGAGGGTCCTGGACAAGGTTTGCTTGGCCCTGACATAGTTTGTAAAACATTTGAATTTGGATGGACATTCAGGTATCTTTTGGATGGACATTCACTTTCCAGCTTGTCATAGGCTTTTCACAGAATTCTCCCAGACTGGCTCCTGGGGGCTGTCCTTGGATGAACAAACCTCAGGCTGCAGAGGGCGAGGGAATATCTCCAGAGAGTCTCTCTCGTCAGCCTTTCATGGGAAACTCCCATCTGCTGAAGATCAAGGTCTCCACTCAAAAAATGAGCAAACTGAAGTGGGTAGACCCAAATGCCATCAACAAAAGAAACAAAAGTTATAGTTCAACTTTGTTTTTTCTCATTTTCTTTTCTTTTTAGAGCTCCATGTACTCCTGGACTTTATCTTCCACATTTTCGGGAGCATACTAGTTGGTTATTGGAGTGCGAGAATCATTCAGTTCATTCTGACCGACCTATTTAGCAACACGCTGACTAGCATCATTCTTTGTGTTTCAATGGTGTACATGACTTTCTACATTGGTAAGGCAGAACCAAATACAAAAAGTGCTGTCCTCAGTGTGAACTTCACACATCTCTATTTTCCCTTGAATCCAGTTGCCTTTTTCCCAGCCACTTCCCCCTTGTGTGGCTCTTCTGTGCATCTTGTCATCTTATCTTCCTGCCACCTCCAGCTCTGCCCTGGTCTCTCTTAACATCCCCTTAATTTCAACTCCTTGTCCCTTCCCTCCACATTCTCTGTGTGGTGACTCTCTTATGCTTTCTGAGCCCCACCGTTGGACCTTACATTTAGTCATCAGCAGTCCCTGCAGAGGAATCAGCTCTGTGCGATTCCTGCTCTGACCCTCAGCAACCCACCTCTCAAAGGAGAACTTTGGGGGAGGTGCTCAAGTCTTTAATTCCACAAGCACCAGACCCATGGGGACTGTAGAAGTGGCGCCCCTCACCTGAAGCGAGAGGACAGGAAAGGAGAGGGAGGAATCAGGCACGTGTGTGTCTGACAGAGTGGAGTAATCACATTGGCACACCTCCCACCATCACCTGCCAGCCTAGTCCAGTGAGAATGGGAGAGTTTCCTAGTATACTGGCCTCACCCAGGTCACCCGTCCCGGAGAGCCATAGCGACTCTGGTGACACAGGCAAATTCGGCTGCCCTCGCTCACTTCACACAGCGGGACAGACTCCATGCACAAACGGCCTCGGTATTAAGAGGATCATTAGTATCCTGTTACCTAAACACGACTTCCTCTACACAGAACAAGCGCCCCTGGGTGTTGCTCACTGTCCTGAATCAGTCAGTAAAACTTACAGAACACATTCACTGAAGGGGCATTTCCTTCAACTTCCTTCATTTTTCCCCTCCCCTGTGAATCTTTCACGCCCCCCCCCCCCTCCGTGAATCTTTTATGGATGCCTTAAATGTCTGAAGAAAGTATTTTTAATTTAATGTATCCAGTGTTTCCCCTAGACCAGTTCTTTGAGGTGGAGGCTGTCTCTCATTCCTCTTTATCCATTCTCTTTTCTATGTTCCCCCAGCCACGCCCAGTGCTTGCCATATGTCTATTAGTAATTGAACACATGCTGGTTGAATACACAAATGCTAGTCTGTGAAGAGCTTTGGAGTTAGGCAGATTGGAGTTCGAATCCCAGCTTCGCCATTTATTAGCTCGTGACTTTGGAATTTTTCTTAACCTCTCTAAACTTGAGTCAGGACCTGCAGCCACTTGGATCACAACCCCTAGGACACCCCTGAGGTGCTGGGCAGAGGCTGTTACACTATTTTTCTATTAGCCCTATCCTCAATACCATCTACACTCTCTTATGCTTTCTGAGCCCCACCGTTGGACCTTACATTTAGTCATCAGCAGTCCCTGCAGAGGAATCAGCTCTGTGCGATTCCTGCTCTGACCCTCAGCAACCCACCTCTCAAAGGAGAACTTTGGGGGAGGTGCTCAAGTCTTTAATTCCACAAGCACCAGACCCATGGGGACTGTAGAAGTGGCGCCCCTCACCTGAAGCGAGAGGACAGGAAAGGAGAGGGAGGAATCAGGCACGTGTGTGTCTGACAGAGTGGAGTAATCACATTGGCACACCTCCCACCATCACCTGCCAGCCTAGTCCAGTGAGAATGGGAGAGTTTCCTAGTATACTGGCCTCACCCAGGTCACCCGTCCCGGAGAGCCATAGCGACTCTGGTGACACAGGCAAATTCGGCTGCCCTCGCTCACTTCACACAGCGGGACAGACTCCATGCACAAACGGCCTCGGTATTAAGAGGATCATTAGTATCCTGTTACCTAAACACGACTTCCTCTACACAGAACAAGCGCCCCTGGGTGTTGCTCACTGTCCTGAATCAGTCAGTAAAACTTACAGAACACATTCACTGAAGGGGCATTTCCTTCAACTTCCTTCATTTTTCCCCTCCCCTGTGAATCTTTCACGCCCCCCCCCCCCTCCGTGAATCTTTTATGGATGCCTTAAATGTCTGAAGAAAGTATTTTTAATTTAATGTATCCAGTGTTTCCCCTAGACCAGTTCTTTGAGGTGGAGGCTGTCTCTCATTCCTCTTTATCCATTCTCTTTTCTATGTTCCCCCAGCCACGCCCAGTGCTTGCCATATGTCTATTAGTAATTGAACACATGCTGGTTGAATACACAAATGCTAGTCTGTGAAGAGCTTTGGAGTTAGGCAGATTGGAGTTCGAATCCCAGCTTCGCCATTTATTAGCTCGTGACTTTGGAATTTTTCTTAACCTCTCTAAACGAGTTAATTCCCTCATCTATAAAAGGGATACAGTAACACTGCCTTTGTAGGAGGATGGCAGGCAGCAATGAGATCGTGTGTGCCATGTGGCTCGCTCATGCTGGAGGGTTGGCGGTAGCTCTGACCTGTTTGAGAGCTGAGTGCACGCACCTCAGCCTTTAAAATACATTTAATAAATGTACATACTTGTATTAATGTAGGCATTCGTGCCATATATTCCTATAGCAATGGGATTACACTAAATAAGATGACATCAGTTTTAAGATAAAGTTGTTCAGTGGTTCCCTCCTTGCAGATGATCTCTCTAAGCAGTGACGGTTACTGAAAAAGACTATGATGAGCTTTAAAATCTAGTAATACTAATTATAGGAAATTGGAAATAAGAATTTGAGAGACATTTTCCCTATCATCACAGTTCCCAGCACAACTGGTTTTACTGCCTTTGTTACTTATATTAAATTCCGTTTAAAAGTATGTAAAAAGACATCCAAAGCGGATTTAAGGGATGAGATAAAACAAAGGAAAAATAAAATCCTGTTCAAATCAGTGAACGGTGTTGATTTACTCAGCAGTAAAGCCAGGCTGTAAAAACAGATAGCATAATAAGAATAATGATGACCATTTATTCATTCTCTTAAAAGTGCGCCGAGCACATTAGTGAAAAGTGCTCGGCGTACTTTTTTTTAATGCTCACGGCAGGTCTATGAGGTATTGTTCTCTTACAGATGCAGGATGGAGAAAGTGGGGCGGTCACCTTCCCAGAGCAACCAGCTCTGCCCTGCTCCAGAGCACTTCCTTTTCTTTCTTTCTGCCTGATGTTTATAAGGTTCCAGCTGAAGGCTCTACAGCAGTGATGGCGAACCTATGACATGCGTGACAGAGGTGACACGCGAACTCATTTTTTTGGTTGATTTTTCTTTGTTAAATGGCATTTAAATATATAAAATAAATATCAAAAATATAAGACTTTGTTTTACTATGGTTGCAAATATCAAAAAATTTCTATATGTGACACGGCACCAGAGTTAAGTTAGGGTTTTTCAAAATGCTGACACGCCGAGCTCAAAAGGTTCGCCATCACTGCTCTACAGCCTACAACTGTTGTCATTTATGGTATTCAAACGTCCTTTGTAGTTGCTTTTCCTAGACTATACTTACACAACTGTTTAGAGCCCAAGGAATGACAGTTCCAGGGGAGTCTGTATCATGCAAAAGAACTGCAGGCTTCAGGACCTGCAGCCACTTGGACCACAACCCCTAGGACACCCCTGAGGTGCTGGGCAGAGGCTGTTACACTATTTTTCTATTAGATCCTCAATGAATGACCATCTACAGCAGGGGTTGGCACTACAGCTTGTGGACCAAATATTCCTATTTTTGCACAGCCCATGAGCCAAGAATAGTTTTTACATTTTACAATGGTTAAAAAAAATCCTCAAAAGAAAAATACATTGTGGCATGGGAAAATGATTTCAAATTCAAGTTCCTGTGTCATGATTTATTGGACACTCACTCATTTACATGTTCCCTGTGGCAGTTTATGTACTACAACAGCTGAGTTGAGTAGTTTCAACAGGGACCACTTGGCCCACCAAGACTACATATCATCTGGTCATTTACAGAAGGGATACCCTTGAGCTACAGGATTAGGCCAATCCCTTGAAGCAACTTTCCAAGAAATATTACTCTTATGTTCCGCACCAGTCCTTTACTCAAGATAAAGTACCTCAATGTGCAGATTTGAATGCAACTAACTTTATTCATTTTTTTCTCCTAGTGGAATTTTTAAAATTGTCAGGGATGGTCGCTTTAATCACTGTAGGACTGAATTTAGATTCCTTAAGCTTTAAACCGAGGATGGAGATAATAATAACTAAGTAAGTCTCCTATTTTGTGCTTGGTATAGATCTCATAGAAATTTAGTGCTTAAGTGGCCCTGCACTTCCTGGATACTAATAAAACTCCCTTTTAATAACTTTTTTTCTACCTTTTCATTAAAAAAAAAAATCCTCACCAGAGGATATGTTTGCATGATTTTTAGAGAGAGAGAGGAAGAGAAAGAGAGAGAGAGAGAGAGAGAGAGAGAGAGAGAAACATCGATGTGAGAAACATCTATCAGTTATCTCTCCTATGCGCCCCAAATGGTGATTGAACCCACAACTTGGGCATATGCCCTGATTAGGAATCGAACTGTGACCTCCTGATTCATAGGTTGACGCTCAACCACTAAGCCATGCCAGCTGGGCAAGATTTATTTTTTTAATGTAAAGACTATGCATTGTTCTGAAATTATAGCCTTCCTACCTTTTTGGTATTTAAAATGTTCTTTCTTTTATGAAAGTCCTGTGATAAAAGATTGTACTTTTTTAACAGCTCTAGTTGGCAAATTTTTTAAATTGGCTTTTAAAGTCCAGAAGCTTGGGAATAACTAATTCATAAAACATATACTTTTTGTCTGAATTTGGACAGTTTCTGAGCTCAGTTGTGCTGTTTGTCAGCATCATTATAAATTATTCTCTTGATTTAATTGTTTATTCTTTCACCTATTCAACCAATCATTGTTTAATGCAGTGGTTCTCAACCTTCTGGCCCTTTAAATACAGTTCCTCATGTTGTGACCCAACCATAAAATTATTTTCGTTGCTACTTCATAACTGTAATGTTGCTACTGTTATGAATCGTAATGTAAATATCTGATATGCAGGATGGTCTTAGGCGACCCCCGTGAAAGAGTCGTTCGACCTGCAAATGGGTCTCGACCCACAGGTTGAGAACCGCTGGTTTAATGTCTGCTATGACCCGAACATTGTACCTTAGGTCTGGGCTATGAAAATAAGTCCTTCTCAGAAGACACTCATTGTTAAGTGGTGGTTGTGTTGATGTAAGAAACTAATATAAGTGAAAATAATTATATGTTCATTGGGATCCTACTATATATAAGGTATGTATTTTTAAGGTCCTGTAGAGACATTTTAAAAAGTATTCTACTCAGTTATTTCTTCATTTCTAAATTTTCAGAAAATTAAGCATTGGGATTTGCAGTCCCACTCATACCCTTCCCTTCTAGTTCTTTTAAAAAATATATTTGTATTGATTTCAGAGAGGAAGGAAGAGGGAGAGAGATAGAAACATCAATGTTGAGAGAGACACATTGATTGGTTGCCTTCTGCATGCACCCCAACCAGGGCCGGGTATCAAGCCTGCAACCTAGGTACGTGCGCTCTTGACTGGAATCGAATCTGGGACCCCTCAGTCTGCAGGCCGACGCTCTATCCACTGAGCCAGACTGGCTAGGGCCCTTCTAGGAGTTCTGAATCAACTGAGTCAAAAGATTGGATTCAGACAGAGAACCAGACTGTCTGCTTAATTGGAGTAAAGCTGGATCAGAGCACAGGGCTTATACCTGCAGCTAACAGGAGGCTCCCTAAGTGTGGAAACTGAGACTCACCTACAGGGAGGCTGCTCTCCCTGTAGGTGGGTCTCACCCAGTCAGCTGAAGGGGAAAGGCCCACCAGAGGGTCCAAGAGGAGGTGAGATCTGAGATCTGCCTGTAGAGGTCCGACCTGGCCCTGACCCCAGGCGTGTCACCACATGGACACAGCCCAGCCCCAGGCCCTAACCTCTGTGCTCTGGTCTACTCAGTAAGAGTCCTTGAAGGTGGGTGGGGCCGCACGTAGGTTTTTGGAAAGCAATCTGGGTGATCCTTACTGCTCTTCTCTGCTTACAAATGGTGTAGGTCATGGGCACTGGAGGGATTCAGAGGAGAATCACCTCCAGAGACAGTGCTTAGCATGGTTTTGTGAAGAACACAGAAGTAGAGTTAGCGGTGCAGGAAGTTAGGAATTCAGTAGAAGCGGACAGGAGACCCTCAAGGTAAGGCTCTTCCATGCGGATCGCAAAGGAAGAAGTTATGCAGTGGGCATGGAGGTGGGTCCAGTCAGCTCTCACAAAGTCAAGGTGACCCAGGTGTGGCTGTGGCAGGCCCCCAGTTGATATGCTGCCAGCTGATCTCAGCAAAACTGCCACAGCACTGACCTGAGGGTGGGGCAGGGGGTCGGTATCCTTATCTTTCTGCCTTGCTTTTATTACGTTGCCGAGAGAGGTGGCCCATGGGTGTTGGTGTGATGAGGGCCACGGGGAACATGGAACTGGGCGGTTCCAGTTCCCACAGATACCTTTGATGCTGCTTGTGACAGTGACAGAGGCAAGGAGCTCTTCCAAGACAAGCGTGGCAGATACATGACACCTGCTGCTTTGTGAGAAGGAAGCTATTTAAAAAACACGTTACTTAAACATGATTTCCTTTCCATTCACCCTAGGTTCTTAATAATGTTTACATCTGTGTTCCAACAATTAATATACACTTTCTTTGGCATTGTAATTGGATGTGGAGAAAACAACTATTTTAAGTTTAACACACTAAATTTCACGTTGGTCTTATTTATCACAATGAACTTTGTAAGGTAAGAATTGTGTTTTAAAGTTCGCTTCCTGGTCTTCCAAGCTCATAATTACAATTGGGAAGCAGTGGGTTCCAGCACAAAAAAAGCTCTGGATGTGCAGCCGGGAAGCCTGTATCGTGGTCAAGGTCCTGGCAATAGCTTGCTGAGCCACGAGGGGTGTGGGTGTCTATTCACTGGTCAAGATTCCACCTGTAACAGGAGAAGGGGCAGGGCAGAACAGCAGCATCCGCATAACCCATGAGCTTGGTAGGAATGCAAATTGATGGGCCCATCCCAATCATCATCCAGAGTTGAATCTCTGGAGATGAGATTCAGGAAGCTGTTTCAACATGCTTGTTAAAAGTTTGAGCATCACTGGACCAGATTAATGGCTCCTAACGTTTTCGTTGACTTTCACCATCACTTATTATCACCATAGCTAGGATAAAGCCATTTATTAAGCAGTTACCATGTACATTAGGCCACTAATTTGAATACAATCCAATGAGGTAGGTGTTACTTCATCATTTCACAGATGACACAGAGAGGTTAAAAACTTGCTCAGAGTCACCCAACTGGTAAAGGCAGAGTTGGGATTTAAACTTGACCCCCACAAGCATGCTTATTCTAGACTGCCATGTCCCACTCATGGTCGTCCACTCCTGGTAGTCGTGTCTACCATAACAATGTATGACAGTGTCTTTGAAACATTGTTATTTCCATTCAGGATAGGCCTGGCCAAGGGTACTCACTTTACAGGATGTTCTCTTGGAATGTGGCTTCTTCATGCCACTCACATAGTCACTGTCACTCAGAAGGTAGTGGATACAGCTCACCTTTCTCCACCTTTCTCTCATGTACAAGTGGAGAGTGGTCAGAGAGTTGAGGAAAGACACATGGCTTTTTGCACATTGTCTCAGCTACATATCCATGATCTCATTTCGTCTTCCTTACAGCACTCGGAGATATGAACTATTATCTCTGTTTTATAGATGAAGGCACTGGCTAAAGAAAGGCAAAGTACCTTGTCCAAGGTCGAATGGTTAGTGAGTTTCAGAGATACTATGGGAACTTACGGTTCCACCTTAGAAGAAAGGCTTCAATGGAGAGAGTCATCCGAAGAGGGCCTCAGTAAATGGGTGGGCTTTCCATAAGAGACTTGTTGAGAGGAACATTTCAGAGAGAATGAGTCAAACTAAGGCCAGGACATAATAATCATTGCTAACGCAATGAGCACTGGCCACATTCAAGATGTCATTCTAGCGCTATGAATGCTGTCCCATGTAATTGAACCTTCATAATAATCCTTTGAGGCAAGTATAATTATCATCCCCATCATCTCCATTTTATGAGTGTCCCAAAATTCATGCAAGAAGTAATTTTGATAGAAAACACATATTTATCATTAAAAATTATAAATTTTTTATTGATTCATAAAGTATACAGTATAGGGTTATGTATGGAATAGCAAACTGGATTATCATTTTGTGATAGCAAGCATCATTAACTGTTATTGCCTGAGCAGCTGCATTTTCGAAGAAGAATGGTCCGATGATGCCTCCAGCCCATCAGGGTTATTTTTAATAACCCTGAACTGTCAACTGTCACGCTATTCTTTTTTTTCTTTGGCAACACTTTACAGCATAAAAGGCATAAAATTCAAATCTTGCGTGAATTTTGGGACACCCTTAGAAGGAGAAACTGAGGCTCAGAGAGGTTAAGTAACATGCTGAATTTTATAGAGTTAGTTAAAGAAGCCTAAATGTGAACCCCGGTAGATCTACTCCAGAGCTTTGCTATGCTGCCTCTCTGTGTTTGTTACCAGGACACAGCACACATTGTTCTATCTTGGCTGGACTCACTGGTATTTTAGAGAAAGATTGTTTAGTAAGACTGGTAAGAATTACTTTGCAAACGGCTTAAATGCAAGGCCAAGGAGTTTGCCCAAATTAATTACAGACATTATAAATGGTAATTGTAGATTTTTCTGTTTCTCAGTGACAGGAACTGTCTAAATTGTGTTGTGAAATTCCCAGCTTAGCAAGTGAGACACAGTGTACTTTTTTAAGGCTGAGAACATATCAATTTTGTTTCTACTGAAACCTTATTTGAAGGACAATACTGATATCCTTTTGGTACAGATTCCCTGAAGATGGATTCTAAATTTTGGCACGGGGTCCTATAGAAAAATTATCCATAGAGAAATAAGGCGCAAATTGAAATGATATATGTGGCATTTAGTGTATGATTCTTGTGAGAACACAAGAAAAATGTGGTTGAGCCAAGTTTATTAATGTGTCTACAATAATGTTACTTTTTGGCCATGATTGTATGTCCTCCAGGCTAATTTCTGAATCCAGACATGGCCTTTCAGGGAATATATGAACTCGTTGATCTTATTGGAAGAAGTTTCACTATAGGAATTTACTACCAAAATCGAAACAGTACACACTAGTGTAAATGATAATTCCTTACATTGTATAGAACTTCTAGCATTACTTTTCAAGATTGAGTATTATGTGCAAGATAGTAGATTTGGTTAGCTTCAGAAAGTTTTGAACAATTTATTAATAAAGTGGATTGTCTTCTCTTTCCTGAAAATTTTTATATGGAATTTAGTACTTAGTACATAGTTTCAACCATGAATAACAATACATAAGGTGTGACTTAAAAATGTGTTTTCTTTCCCCAGATTGCTTACTATTGTGTTGGTGAGCCCTATTCTGATGCGTTCGAGTTATGAATATAATTGGAGATGGGGAGTTGTGATAGCATGGTCTGGTATCAAAGGTGTTTTTAACTTGCTCTTGGCTCCTGATATTTATAATCTGTCTGATAAAAAAGTGGAGTCGCCAGAAATGGTAGGAAAATCATGTCTCCTGATTATTCATATTTATTAATTTTGTAGCACTTGTCATTGTACCCAATAATAAAGTTAACCCTTTTAAAAATTAGATTTGAAAAATACATTCTTTCAAGTAGAAAGAAACCTGCAGAGGAAACTTGACTGATGTTGGCAATGTGAAAGGGACCAACAGTCAAATACAGATTATGGGCATGGGAGACAGATGGACTTTGGATCGAATCCTGGCCCGCCATTCACAGACTGAGTGACCTGGGGCAAGTTCCCTAAACTGGTGGAGCCTCCATTTCCAGTTGAGGATGTTTAGTAAATGCTCAATAAATGTTATTGAGCATATAAATGCTATTGTTTAATAGATGTCAGAAAGCATAAAAAAATACCCTGTCTAGAGCAGTCCAATCCCTATAGCCATTAGAGTAAAACCTGAAACGTTACTTGAATATGTACTAGCAGTGGTCGGCAAACTCATTAGTCAACAGAACCAAATATCAACAGTACAACGATTGAAATTTCTTTTGAGAGCCAAATTTTTTAAACTTAAACTATATAGGTAGGTACATTGTTATTAACTTAATTAGGGTACTCCTAAGGCTTAGGAAGAGCCACACTCAAGGGGCCAAAGAGCCGCATGTGGCTCGTGAGCCGCAGTTTGCTGACCACGGGCCTAGCCAATGGGCAACCTGGTGGTGGCAGCATCTATTCGAAGATCAAAAGATCTTAGTGCATCTGCTGACCACGTTAAGGCACCTCGTCATTTGTGACAGTACTGTGTGAGCTAGCTGGAAAAGTTGCTAGAAGATTCTAGAAATCTCCAGGACAACCTTGGCACCTCCCAGTCAGATGAATTTCAAACCTGCCCCTTGGAGGGAGAAAAGCACTTGAACAATATGAATTAAGAACACCTGCCTAAGGAACTTGGCTCTGGAGGGAGATATACAGTTTCCTGCTGTCATCTACTTCCCAGCTCGGGATTTCCTCCTCTTAGCGATTTCGCTCCTGTCCTGGAAGCCCCCGGAGTGCAGTGCTTTTCAGATATCTTCATTCTGTGAGCAACGTTCACCCTCTCCGTCTTGCATGTGGAGAATTCAAAACAGAAGAGCATTTTAGGGAAAGAACTCAGGTCCCTAACTCCCAAAGGGGGAAGTGCTTTTTTTTAATGGAGTATCATATTCCTCACCTTCTTTCCTGAGGGTTCGCACTTCAGATCTGCGGGAATGGTCTGGGGATTAATTTGGAATTCAAACAAACCTGTGGCTTTGCCAAGACTTTGGACCCTTCCACGCTCCAAAGGAAAAGTATAATAACCAACATCTGAAATCCTTCAGTTTTCTTTTGTGCAAGAAATGGGCCTCCGAGCAAGTCAATGACATGTTAACTCACATTCGAGTATCATTTCACAGTGTTTCCCAAATCTGTCTGATGTTAAGAATCCCTTTTGTGCCCCCCGCCCCCACCTACAGAATAGAGTCTGCATGGGAGAAGGGGAGTTGGTGTCTTTAACCAGCACGTCGGGAGCTCTGTTGTTACCAGTCAAGCTTGGGGAATGCTCCCTGAAGGACATATTGCTATTAACTCCATTTTTCAGGGAAGGACACTGAGGCTCAGAGTGCTTAACTGGCCCCAAAGTACATGGGGGGAAAATAGCAGAGCCAAGAACTACAAATGTGGGTGTGTTTCTGCTTCTGCACGGCCCCTCTCCAGACCCCAGCACAGCTCCTGCCTCCTGCAGAGTCTCCTGTCCAGTTGCAGGAAATGCTGGTGGTAGGCGCACTGCCCTGTCCCACCTGTGGTCCCCACCGCCGGCTGTCGCTGGGGTCTCTCCCCCACCTGGTCTGTGCTGGTTTCCTGGCTGCTGCCTCTCAGGGTTCTTCTCTCTCCCAGAAACTATGAAGTCTTTTGTTTTCTCCTTCAGATTGAAAACTAATTTCTGCCCTAGTATATTGTATTCATGCAGTGCTCACAAAACAACCCTTAGCCTCAATTTACTTATCAGAGGCAGGATTAAAAATGTGGATTAAGATAGCATTTTGTTGGTGGTTAACTGAACAATGTTTCCCTTTGGAGAACTTACTAACGTTTGGCTCTAAGTGTTTTTGTGTTTTGTTTGTTTGTTTTTTTAGATTATATTTTATGTACAAGTACTATCATTAATGACGATGGGAATAAATTCATACATGATGATTCATTTAGCCAGGACATTAGGTAACGTATATCTATATTTAATTAATTAATTAATTAATTGGGGGTAAACAGATTATTGTTGAGGTTGTAGGGACAGGTTTTTGTTGTTGTTGTTGTTAATCCTTACCCGAGGATATTTTTCCATTGAGTTTTTAGAGAGAGTGGAAGGGATGGGGAGAGACAGAGAGAGAGAAACTTCGATGTGAGAGTGGTTGCCTCCTGCATGCGCCCCCACCAGGGCTGGGAATTGAGCCTGCAACTGAGGTATCTGCCCTTGACTGGAGGAATCTAACCCAGGATGCTTTAATCTGTGGGCCTGACATTCTATCCACGGAGTCAAACTGGCTAGGGCTTATAATACCAATTTCCCTTGATAAACCAAGTTAGTAATCCATAAAGTTTCTTAGAAAGCATGGAACCAGTGACAGAGATCATCTTCAACATGTTCATTCATTCAAACTTATTGCTCCCCCATATACTCATGCTTCCCCAGAGCAACTTTCCCAGATGGGGCTGTGGCGCCATCACATGGGTAGGATGTAATTAGGCACATGAATAAATTCATCCAGTGTGGTCTCAGCCAGGGGTATTTTAAATCCAAAGCTTCTAACTATAGTCAAACGCATCTTTGTTGGGACTATAGAGAACCGACAGGGATATGCCTCCAGACTTTTTTGAATCCCCAGAATTTCAAACACTACAGTTGAACACAGTGCCCATAGAGGAGGCATAAAGTTAAACAGAAACATTGTGAAACCATTTATGAGGCATTTCATATGCAATTAGGAAGAAAAAATTGTTTTACTGAGATGGACCTTCGAGCAAGCAGGCTAAGCTCACTTAATTACATTCATCGTTTTGGTAAGTGAGCCTCATACCTATAACTTCACATTCATACCTTAAGCAAATACAAGCTGCTACAAGTTTTGGACATTAGATTTGCTGGCCAAGGAAACAGAGATGTTAAATTTGAGAGATGTCTTTTGCAGTGGCCTTGAAACTTTATTATCTATAAGACTCATAACTTGTTAAAATGCATATTCCCAGGCCAGTCCGCTTCTGCTGGTATGGAATGGAGCCCAGGAATTTGCATAGTTTAAGCAGCCCTTCTGCCTACAGACGACACATGGAGTTCTCCACACTTTGAGAAATATCCATTGGTGCCTTGAAATAGTGGGTCACGTCTATAGCTATAGGGAATGAAAGGAAACTAATAAAACATTCTTTAGCACGTGAGTCAGATTAAGTTAAGCTATACAGCCAAAAGGAAACAAATAATTGGGTGATTTTCTGGAAAGTTCTGGACCAAACCTTGTCTTTGCCTTAAGCTATGCAGGCGATGCCAAGATTTCACCACATCATGCAATGTTCCTGCTTTCCCTGGCAGCTATCAGTGCATTCTATAAAGCTCTTGCTTTCTCTGTTACAGGTTTGTGTGTAATCTCTCTTCCAAGACAGATGGCCATGCAAAATGCCATTGACCACATCCAGGAGATAATACAGAACACAATAACTTTATTTAAAACAGAGAAAATTTTGACAAATGTTAATTGGTCCTTAGTAGAAGAAAAATCGAAGATTAAATACAGAATTTCTGTGAGTTGATGCCTGGCTTCTTTCCCTTCCTGGCTCTGCCTCTCTTGCTTTAGTTTATTATAAGAAACTTAATTCTGCTAATAAAATGTCAGAAAACTTGGGAGGGGGTATGTTTACTAGCTTTGCTATCTTGGTGAGAAGACTTCTTTGAATTTTGTCTTGGTGATCTAAACCCATTTGGCAAATATGGGAGTATTAGTGTTTTTACCAATTGGCTGATTGAATAATTATGAATGGACTTTCAAGCTGATGCTTCTAACCAGTTCAGGAACTGAGAGATCTCCCCCCACCCCCCACCCCCAGATTAGTATTAGAAAAAAACAAAAGAACAGTCAAGCATAGGCCATTTGGGGGAAGAATTTCACTTCTAAATCTCCCCAAATAAATAGTTACTTTGCCACAATATGCAGAAGGTTATCCACATGCACATGGTCCTTCATTTGAGCAATTCTGATTGAGTACTGAAATCTCTGAGTGACTAATCATTTTCACTTATTTTTAACTTTACCTCTGTATGCTTTTAAAACAGTCTAATGCTGTTCAGTTTCAACACATTTCGACTGGCGAAAAAGAGCAAGAGTCCCCAACTGATGAAGTTTTAATAGAAGAAGCCAGATTGCATGTAGCCATCATACAAATGGTTGGTATTGTTCACATAATCTGCTTTTAAGTTTGTTTTTATTCTTGCAATGCTTTTAATTCTTACTTATGGTTTACAGGTGACTAGAGAAACATTTTTTTCATCATTTGATAGTCTATTGGTTGTTAAATTTTTGCTTTATTTATGAAAGTTAAAAATAAAAATCTCTTTAGGCTTTAAAGTTCAAGTAACAAATCTCATTCTGTTTCTAAATCTAGTGGATTTTAATAGTTCACATTTTGGGGATCTGAATGATGCTTGATGTCATTTACATATTTAGTAAAGTAAATATCCTCAAATATTTGAGTACCTTTTATAGAAAAATTTTAAAAAATATATATATTTTATTGATTTTTTTACTGAGAGGAAGGGAGAGGGATAGAGAGTTAGAAACATTGATGAGAGAGAAACATGGATCAGCTGCCTCCTGCACACCCCCTACTGGGGATGTGCCCACAGCCAAGGTACATGCCCTTGACCGGAATCAAACCTGGGACCCTTAGGTCCGTAGGCTGATGCTCTATCTACTAAGCCAAACCGGTTAGGGCTATAGAAAATTCTTCCAAGTAATCATTTAATTCTTATAAATCTAATCAGTTAAAATAAATCTAGTGAATCAAAAATTCTCTTAAAATATTTCTAATTTAATATTTAAATGTTCTACTATAAACATAGGAAGACTTCTAGGTAAAATCAAGTTAAATCAACTTATCGAATTGCACATTTTAAATTGGGGCTACATTCTAAATAAGACAAATGTTAGTCAATATTACAAGTATTTAAAATACTCATTATTTATAGAGTCCTTTTTACTTTTATTTTAAAACGTATTATTATGAAAAATCCTAACATATACAAAAGTAGGTATGATAGTGTAATGAACCCCCATGTACCGATCTTTAAAAACCCATCCACACAGGACCAACCCTACCCCATTCCCATCTTCTTTCACTCCCCCACCTTCCATAGTATTTTGATATCATGTCATTTCATCTGTAAATATTTTAATATGTATCTCTAAATTTTAAAATCTTTTAAAAAGTATTGTAAAAAGTAATATATTGACCTAAAATTAGTAAGATCTTAATACCATCAAATATCAAGTCAATGATTTCCAATTGTCTGATAAATATGACCAATGCATATTTTTAGTTTATATTTTTAAATTGGATTCCAATAAAGTTCACACATTGCAATTAATGGATATGTCCTTCTCAGAGTTGGGAAGTCTCTTATCTAGTAACTTCCCTCAATTGAATTTGGGCTGCTCTTGTCACTTGTTTCGACTAATAAAATGTGGGGAAAGTGATATTGGGAATGTTCTGAAGCCTAGGCCTTGGGAATATTTGCAGCTTCTACAATGAATACATTATGAACAATGAGTAGAAGCAATGGGTACATTTATAAGGCAAGAGTGCATGATCAGCATATGAGGAAGTTTAGTGAGGAAGAAGTCCCAGGAGGTAACTTTAACCTCCAAGTTTAATATCCATGGCAACTAAAAAGGAGGACTTTTCTCCTGACATTTTTTGGGGCTGAGGAGTGACATAAGAATACAATCTAGTATATCTATATTTTAGGTAAGCCTCAGGGTAGTCACAAAGAAAAAAATGTAGAGTAGATATAGAGAAAGGAATGGAAGAAAACCACTACAAAAATAAATAACAAAGGGAGACAGCTCAAGAAGACAAAAGGGCCAGGCCAGGAAGGTCAGTTGGTTGGAGTGTTCTCCGTACACCAAAAAGGTTGCAGATTTGATTCCCGGTTGGGGCACATCCTATATTGCAGGTTCAATTCCAGGTCAGAGCACCAAGAGGCAGTCAATTGATGTTTTCCTCTATCTCCCTAAAGTTAATAAACATGCCCTCGGTAAGGATTAAGAAAAAGAAAAAAAGAGAAGATAAATTTTATAATTATCTATCTGTATAAACAGGGAATATGCTAATTAGCTGAGCATCACAACCACTCAGGAGGAGCTGCGCGAGCAGATGGGTGGGAGGGGACACCCTTATGGAGCAGGACTTGCTTCAGTGGTGCTTTGCCGCTCACTGAGTCTGCCCCTGGAGTGTGTTGCTTATGGATCTGAAGTGTAATCTGGTATGGTCTCACACTGACGACTGGATACACTGGCTCTTGGATCTCCAAGGAGGTGCAAAGTCAGCCACTGCCTGAGGCCACCCAGCAGGTGCTACAGAGAGATCTGCAGATTCCTCCTCTTTGTATAGAGTTTGGAAATGCCCAGATGAGTCCCAGCTATGAAGCAAGGCAGGCTGCTGCTTCCGGGCCTTGGGCCTTCTTTTGGAAGCTGTGGGGCTCTCTGACCCAGCTTCAGTTTGACAGGTTTTAGGCAGAGAAAGAACAGGCCATTCATATGCAAAAGCCGCTGTGCACAGCTTGGGTGGGGTTGTAAATTGGGTGGGGCAGGGCCTCAGGGAATCACCAGGGCGGAGCAAACAGCAATGGCTGTCAGTCAGCCCTGCATCTCTGCATCCAGTGCCCCTGCACAGGAACAATGATCGCTTTGAGCACCTCTGAGAGAAAGTCGCCCTCGCGTTCCGGCCCAACGCGACAGCCCAGTTTCTCCCTGTATGAGTCTGGATCCCAAGAGTCTCACCGGAACTGGAGTTCAGAGCAATCAGGAGCTTGTATCTCCCTCCCTATTGAAAAAAACAACAGCGCACCCAGTTGCCAGCCCTTTCTGTGCGTGCTTCCGCACCTCCGCACCTCCTACCAGTCTCAATGCGCTTTTTTCTTTCCTTCTAGTTGTAGAACTTCCACTCAGCCAGCTTTCCTGTGGTTCTGGATGATAGTTGTTTTGTCTTTTAGTTGTAGTTTTGATGTGGTTGTGAGAGGCAGCAAGTACAGGTGTTTACCTATGCCGCCATCTGGATTCTCTCCCGGTTTACTTTTATTTATTGGTAGTTCTTTGTGGGGTAGTTACCCTTTGAATAAATAATTTGCATCATCTATGCTGCTGTACAAAGATGATGCTACTGCCCTAACTGTTTTGCTCAGTGGATAGAGCGTCGGCCTGCGGACTGAAGGGTCCTAGGTTCGATTCCAGTCAAGGGCATGTACCTTGGTTGTGGGTACATCCCCAGTAGAGGGTAAGCAGGAGGCAGGTGATCGATGTTTCTCTCTCATCGATGTTTCTAACTCTCTATCCCTCTCCCTTCCTCTCTGTAAAAAAATCAATAAAATATATTTTTTTAAAAAGATGATGCTACTGAAGCTGTTTGTATTACTAAAGTAAACTCTTTGAATAGTACAAATTTTGAGTTTCCTGAAGCTAGGAACCTTTGTATCTTTTAAAACATCCTGAACAGTACTTTGCAAAAACTGAATATTCAGTAAATATTTAAATTGAATAAAATGTATTTCCCGCTATAGCATTTTTTGGCAAAAGAATACTTTAATTGTAATGAGTTCAATAATAATAGTGAGGGCTATATAAAGATTAAGCAGAATTGACTGCATTTATGTTTTGGTCCTTTGTAATTTTTATTTAAAATTGCATGTTTAGAGTAGCTTTGAAAAACAGTGTCAAGATGGAATCCTTGATACAGAGGCAGCCCGAATATTAATTGGTGCAACCAAAAGCTATTGTCCCATCCAAGGAAAGTAAGTATAGTATTTATTTAATTGATATTTCCAAAATTGAATTAATCTGTGATAAGGAATAAATGAACTGAGAGCTAAATGTCCTGATTGATCAATCTATTTATCTCATCCATCTACCTGTCCATCCATCCATCCATCAATCCATCCATCAATTTGTCTATTTCCTATTTGAGTTGTTTACAGTTCCCTCCCTGAAGGTTGGTGACATTAGGAGATTTGGGAGGAAGATATGACTACAATGTAATTAAATTTCAGGCTAAGAGAGTCATGAAAGAGCACCCAGATAGTTTCAATTGCTATTATAATTATTTTGTCTTTATATCAAATTCACTAAATTACTGTCTATGAGAGGTAGGAAAGCCTGGAGCCTGCTATTAGACACTCCATGAGGTAGAGCAGGCTCTGGAGGAATTGACCTAGCTAATAGATGCAATTAAACCTGGTGGGAAAGGCTCAGAATCTCAGAGATACATTGATACCCGGTCACAGTACTGGCAAACAGGAGCAATGGATGGTTCAAGACACAGCTGCAGGGCAACAATGATAGGGGATCCCATCTGGGTGACAGCTGATGGTTTAGCAGCCTGGTGATCTATCTGGGAGATCTGGCATCAGTTCCTGGATAAAGTTGGGGGAAAGCTAGGGCCTGAAGGACCTGGAGAGGTTTGGGCTAGCAAGGCATGACAAAGGGAAGCTTGATTCCGAACCCCAAAGAATTTGTCTGGAGAAGTCTTAATTCTGTTGTACTCAGGTCATTAATGGTTCCAGGAACAGACACAGCAGGAGTCTGATGCTAAGTATGTTCCTGTCCCATGACCATGAGTGGTCAGTGGATGGATACAGAGGCTCGGCACTCAGCACGTGTAATAAACTGACATTACATAGAGTATAACTTTTCCTTTTAGATTACCCCCAAGGACAGCTAGTGCTTGCTCTTTCTCCTAACATATGCATATGTTTCTCTCTTAGATTCATGAGTATTTATGATGTTTCAACTTATGTAAAAGCTAGAAGTTGGCTTATAAAGTTTAAAAAAATTTTAGCTCTCTTGGAATATCATAAAGATACGGGATATTTTATCCCATATGGGTAAGTATTGTGAACCTTTCATAGCAATATACTTGACAATCTGACCTTTTTACACCCTCAGAATACTTTACTTTGGTTTTTCTTATTTAAAACACACACACTGACATTATGATCAACTATTACTGGCTTAGTGGCGACTGAGCAGAGTGCTTGCTTGCCTGTCGCCATTGTGTTTCAGCAGATCCTGACTTCTCCAGGAGAGAGGGGTAGGAAGAAGCAGATGATGGTCAGATTTGGCTTCTTCAAGTTTTATTTGCCATGTTTTGGGTCAATTTCTATATTAGCCTTTTATTATATAGGACTAGAGGCCCGGTGCACAAAAATTTGTGCACTCGGGGGGGG